GTCGAGGCTGCGGTGGCCAGGAGCAGCCACTGCACTCCAGTCTGGGCGACCGAGTGAGACGCCAACTCAAAAAAAAAAAAAAAAAAAAAATAGTGCCATCTCAGAAAGCCGAGTGTCTGTTAACTTAATATTGTCAACATGATTTTCTTCCACTTCTGTGTTTGCTCATACTCTAGGAATTAAACCCTTGGCTGAGAATCTGGCAGCCCACGGGCAGTTTCATTGTGTGTGGTTTTGTACATAGGAAAATACAGAGTAGGCGCGTCTGTGGATAATGGTGTCGTCAATACTCATAAGTTGAACTCTGTTTTGTTTTTGTTTTTGTTTTTTTTGAGTTGGAGTCTCACTCTGCCGCCCAGGCTGGAGGGCAGTGGCCGCTCCCGGTGCAGCCTCGACCTGCTGGGCTCCGGCGATCCCTCCGCCTCAGCCTTCCGAGTAGCCGGAATTACAGGCACGCGCTACCACGCCTGGCTAATTTTTGATTTATTGTAGAGATGAGGTCTCGCCAAGTTGCCTAGGTGGGTCTCGAACCCGCGGGCTCAGGCAATCCACTCACCTCAGCCTCCCAAAGTGTTGGGATTACAGGCTGAGCCACCGAGCCCTGCCTGAACTCTGTTTTAAAAGATGCAGTTACCAGTTTTCATCACGTCCAAACTGGAATGAGTAGGCATCAGATGAGCCTCTATGGACTTGGGAGTGAGACCTTCATTTATGTAATTATTTTGAGTCGGTGTCTCACTCTGTTTCCCAGGCTAGAGTACAGTGGCATGATCATGGCTCGCCGCAGCCTCAGACACCTGGGCTCAAGTGATCCTCTTGCCTCAGCCTCCCGAGTAACTGGGACTACAGGCAGATGCTACCATACCTGGCTAAGAGACCCCCAACTTTATCAGCAGGTTCTTCCAAGAGACATCCCATCAGCATTGCTAAAACACCTGTGGGTGGCGGAATGTGGGGCGCTGTGGAGGGTTCGCTGTATTCTTAGTGTCTTGAGTGCGTTACAGTCATGGCATCTGAGGTGGTGGCAGCTAGCTGGCATAGGGCGGGGGCCCTATGACCAGCATCATGAATGCAGCCGTTCCCTCAGTCCTTGCAGCAGCCCTGTGAGACACGTGCTCTGTGTGAGAGAGGACACAGGCCTAGAGGTCACCAGGAGGTGGCAGGGTCGGGATTCAGTCCTCAATGGCTGCCCCCGCCCCATGGCTCTTAACCGGGTGATGAGATTAAAGTCTGTAAAACCAAACTGCTTTCGGGCCGTTTGCATAGGAAGGTGAGCGTTTTTAAGTTTGTTTTTACCTTTTTCCCCCAAGTAGAGCCTTGCGTTAGCCTTCTTTCCACTTGAAGGCTCTCTGGACTAATGGGCGGTGAGTGCAGCAGAGCCGGTTTCCTGAGGGCCAGCTTCTCCCTGCCAGAGTAGGTGGCCAGTGACTTCTCTCTAATTGCCACATGGAAAGCACACATCCATGTCCAGCATGGCCCCGCCGCCTGGGGCAACACTTTTTGGTGCATAGCCCTCCAGTCTTTTTTCCAACACATGTGCTCATTGTTTTAATCTCTCAGAAAGCAGAAGGAAATCAGGGAGATAAACATGGAGTAATGGGCAGCGGTTGTAAGGACCAGCCCTGTGTCTGTCCGCACGAGTCAGCCTTTCCGACCTGCCGGAGGAGGCAGGCTACAGAGCAACACGGGCCGCCGGCTCGCTCGTATCAGTCCTCAGACAGTTTCGGAAACTGCACTGTGCGTGTAGACCCCAGGAAGTGGGTGGGTTCCAGCAACTGGCAGTAAGTCTCACTGGTGACTGTCACAGGGACGAGGGGGAGATGAAACCATTTGCGATTGTCAGTTCAGAGACACACCATTATTGACTATGGGGGGTGTATTTAGCATTTTTCTCAAAGTGAGTGTTATTTTTAAAAGGGCAGTTCTATGCTGCAGAAATTGAAGGGGGAGCTGATGGGCACCAGGAAGGGTTTCTTCGGTGCTGGCTGGAGCCCCATCCAGGTTGGTAGGGGCGGAGGCCACAAGGCTCGCTCAGGGCCCTGCGGGCCTGCCTCTTCTGGCCTGGTCCTGGCACGCGTCTGGCGTGTAGTAAGTGTGCAGTTTAATTGCCTGAGAAAAATGGCATTAGGGACCGTGGGAGACAGGTTCAAATGGCTGACATGATTTATTTCACTGCTTAGAGTCAAATTGCCTTTAGTTGAAATGGTCCTCGCAGTTTCCATATTCAGTGACTCATAACATGTTGTTTCAACTCCCTAGAAGCGTGCAGATGTTACAGTCAAGGATGCCTGTCTTAAGGGAAATGGCCGTGGCTCTGTGTAGCAAGGACTTCACGTCCTCCTGCTGGGCCTTCATTCTGAGTCACGCTGCATTTAGAAGAAATGGTTTCCCTGTGAAATTTACAATCAATATTCCACACATGTGATGAGACAGATTTAAAGCTGATTTTTTTTAAGTGTTCGTAATGGTTGGAGAGTTTCTTGTGTCCGCCTGCATGCCTGTCTAACAGCAGTGCAGCTGACACTTTGGAAGAACATTGCCCGAGCCCCCTGCTGTGTCAGGCACATTTCTAGACTTAGCAGATATTGAAGTGGGATGGGGCCTGGATCTGAGGAGCAGTCGTGTCTTGGCTGTGGGCCTCAAGGAAATCCCCCTACTGCCGCCGGGTAGACGTGAAGCTTAGTGCGGGCCACTCCTGCTCTAGAGCCTGGGAAACTCAAGTTTGATAACCACGTTTTTAAATAGAACCGTCATTAAGAAGGAAGAGAAGATTGAGAAGAAGGAAGAAAAAAAGCCTGAAGACATTAAAAAGGAAGAGAAAGACCAAGATGAGCTGAAACCAGGACCTACAAATCGATCTAGAGTCACCAAATCAGGTGATATGAGTCTTTCCAGCCTTGAGGAGGGGGCTCAGCCTGCAGGGGGTTGGGCAGGTGGTTTCAGGAGGGACTGAGGACAGCCTGCCTTCTGGTGACTTGAGGAAGCCAGAGCCTCAGTGAGGAGACGGCCTCGCGGCGCTGCCGTGCGGCCTCAGACACTGGGGTGGGCGGGCACGGGCGTGTGTGTCGGGGGCTCCGGGCCCGAGGGCTGTAGCAAGGGATTCGCAAGAGCCAGGTGCCCGGGTTCCTTGCCACTCGTCGGGTACGATTCTGAAGGTGTGCCGTCAAGTGCTTCCTGCATTGCTGTCAAAGGCAGACAGAGTAAAAAATGTAGAGAGAACTGAGACCTCCAAGCATCTACTTCTGTTGAGAACAGTGCCACTCCTGTTGTCTTTTTATAAATGTTACTGTGCTCCGTACCTTCAAATTCATGTGAGACTCTCAGAATGTTATGTGACAAAAAAATAAACCAACCCTCCGATGGGTGGAAAAAGAAACACAACTCAGCCATCTGGAGCATTGAAATTTGGTACAGCACATTACAAGTTGGATCTTAAATGCTTGGGGTAATTTACCAGTAATCTCATGAGGGACGTGCTTTTTAAATGTTCCTCAAGTATTGTAAATCTCCCCAAATAAGTCATCGTTCCAGTGTTTAGAGCCCTGTTGTCATGTCGTCGGGAGAGAGAAGTGATCTGGAGGACTTTATTGCTGTAGAGGAACGAAGGGAAGCCCACTCATCTGGCGAGGCACTCCTGTGGAGATGGCAGCATCTGACTCAGCACAGAGGCCCAGAGTCTGCGGAGCTTTCCAGAATGTGCTGGAGAAATCAAAATACAAATTGATTCTCCTGGCACTCCTAGGGTTTAGTGTGAGGGTGGAGGAGTTTGTGTGCACGTGTCATGATGTGCTCTGACTTTAGTGCTAGGTCGTGGGCTGGCAGCAGGTTCCAGCTCCGTGGCTCCAGATGTGCAGAGACCTGTCATAGTGCTCTGGCTTCTCTGCACCCCGTGTTGCCATGTTGATCACTTGACTGAGGCCCTGTGCACCAAGTCCATGGCCCACCCGAGTGCTTTGACTGTTTGGAAGTTGGGCGTCAGCATGTCTTGATGGATTACTGTTTTTTCCTGAAGGAAGCAGAGGAATGGAGCGGACAGTGGTCATGGACAAGTCCAAAGGAGAGCCCGTCATTAGCGTGAAGACCTCCAGCAGGTCCAAAGAGAGGGTGAGTATTACTTTTGCTGCCTCCTGTCCAGCTGCAGCTGTTGTTGATGGTGACCTAAGAACCCCTTGGATGTACATTATGAAGATGACGACGTTTCACCTGTAAGATTTTAAGAGTTCTTCAAGGCCAGGGGCAGTGGCTCACGCCTGTCATCACGCCTGTCATCCCAGCACTTTGGGAGGCCGAGGCAAGAGGATTGGCTGAGCCCAGGGGTTCGAGACCAGCCTGGGCAACTTGGTGAGACCTCCTGTCTACATTAAGTCAAAAAATTAGCCTAGCGAGGTGACATGTGCCTGTGGGTCCAGCTCCTTGGGAGGCTGAGGTAGAAGGATTACCTGAGCCCAAGCAGGTCAAGGCTGTGGTGGCTGTGAGTTCTTCAAAGTACTCAGGAGTCACATTGTTAATTGGTTAAATTATGTGCACAGATGCAAAATTAAATACTGAAACTTTCTATGAAACAATACTTACCTATGTTTGTGTTCCTTAATACACTGACCCCTCGCTGAGTCTTGTCCGGGCTGCACCTTGTCTTTTGCACGAAGAGTGATTCAGAAACAGCAATTTGCCATGAGATACTATGGGCAAGACCCAGGCTTTTCTTCTCTTTTTCTTTTTCTTTCTTTTTTTTTTCCGTGCGAGTCAGATCTAACTCACTAAGGCTGGAGTGCAGTTGCACGATTGCAGTTCACTGCAGCCTTGACCTCCTGGGCTCAGGTAGTCCTCCCACCCCAGCCTCCCAAGTAGCTGGGTCTACAGGGATGTGCCACCACAGCTGCCTAATTTTTATAATTTTTTGGCAGAGACAAGGTTTTGCTACGTTACCTGGGCTGATCTTGAATTCCTGGACTCAAGCAGTCCTACCGCCTCAGCCTCCCAGAGTGCTGGGATTACAGGCATGAGCCACTGCACCCAGCAAGGGGCTACATTTATTGAGTTGTATGCACAGCTGGGCAAGATGGTAGCTTCTCGTTTTGCATTTTCTACTTCGGAAAACAAAAAACCCCTCTGTTTCCCAGCTGCAGGTCCTAGCTAAGACGTTAACGAGATAACAGTGGTCTTTTAGTGAATGCACAGTTGGCTGTATTCATCCAAGAACACGCCGTGTAGTTAAGACTGAATTTTTTAAATGAACATTTGGATTCTATAAAGCAGCAGTCTCTACTGCCATTTCACATGCGCTACGTGAAAATCATACAATACAGGGAAATATAGGGTAGAAAACAAAGACCAGCAATCTTACTACGCAAATAACTGATGTTAAAATCACGAGGAGCACATCCCATGACACAGAGAAGAAGGAACATGAGTGACATGGAAGCCTCTGCATCCATGCGGGCTCCTCGGCCTCCACTTGAGGACACGTCCGTTGCTACAGGGTCAGAGGCAGGGGACAGTCGGGGACTCGCCGGTGGGCCCATTGCTTTTCGTGTATAATATGCCTTGGAGGTCTTTGCATGTGGAGACGTGCAATTCGGCCTTTTTCCTTTTGAAATAATTGAAGTGCTGTTCAAAAGGGTGATGGAATCATGCGCTTACTGGTGTCTATCACAGGCCACTCGCAGTAAGTGGCTAAGCGGGCGTAGGAATCGGCCACCCTTCCCTACCGTGCTGCCCCTCCATCCCCCACAGGGTGCCTGGGGGCGCCTGTCCCCGCACTCTCGCTCAGCCTGCAGGGTGTGTAACAGATGAAACCATCTGCTGTCGCACAGGTGGGAAGTGTCGTGATGTTGGGATGGTGTGTCTTTCCTGTGTGTCTCGTGAGTTCTCCTTCTTCGTCTCCCCCCCACCCAGTTTTTAACTGGCATAACATCTGGGCCTCCATCTGTCTTGCTTTGTCTTTTTTTTTTTTGAGTTGGAGTCTCAGTCTAGCGCCCAGACTAGAGTGCATTGGCCGCTCCTGGCTACCGCAGCCTTGACAGGCTGGGCTCCAGCGATCCTTCCGCCTCAGCCTTCCGAGTAGCTGGAACTACAGGCATGCGCCACCACGCCCAGCTGATTTTTTGATTTATTGTAGAAATGAGGTCTCACCAAGTTGCCCAGGTGGGTCTCGAGCCCGCGGGCTCAGGCAGTCCACTCACCTCGGCCTCCCAAAGTGCTGGGATTACAGGCTGCTTTGTCTTTTTTTTGGAGTCAGTGTCACTCTGTTGCCCAGGCTGGAGTGCAGTGGCACGCTTACAGCCACCAAAGCCTCGACCTGCTGGGCTCAGGTGATCCTTCGGCCTCTGCCTTTCCAGTAGCTGAAACCACAGGCGTGCGCCACCACACCCAGCTGCTCTTTTGAATTATTGTGGAGACGAGGTCTTGCCAAGTTGCCCGGGCTGGTCTTGCACCCCTGGGCTCAGGCAATCCTCTTGTCTCTTCCTCCCAAGGTGCTGGGATTCAGACATGAGTCACTGCGCCCGGCCTGCTTTGTCTTTTGTTGCCATTGTTTTTGTCCCACTGTGGGAGTCATTTGAGAAAACCAGCCAAGGGGCTTTTTAAAAGTGTCATCTCCTGGGCCCGTGCCCAGGAGACTTTGTCTGACTCAGCAGGAGAACTTGTCCCCAGCTTCTGTGTTGTATGATAGCTTCCCGGGAGAGCCTGTTGTATGACCTTGGAGGCCCTCAGAAGCAGGTGCTGACCATCACAGTTTGAGCCTTGCCCCACAGTGGAAGCTGACCATTCGTGTTTTGCGCCTTCTTGGGGTGCTGTTTTGCGGTACGGCGTGGCGGCTCGTTCTGTGTTAGTGTCATCTGCCTGTGGCCTGAGCGAGCTGGAAGTAAAAACACGCAGTCAGTCCTGCAGCTGGCTTGACGGCTGCCCCCCCTGAACCGGTGGCCGCTGTGGCCTTGTGTGGATGTGCCCTGTGGCTGTGAGAAGCTAGTTTTGCTGTCAATTATGAGTCTGGCCGTGCCTCACTAGAAAAACTGTGCCTGTGGGTGTTCCGAGGTCTGGGCTAACCGTTCTCTTCTGCTTGTGCTTTGGACATTTGAAAGCAAGATCCCGGATCAGGTAGCACGACCCCAACAGGCAGAAAGCAGCCTGGGCTTGAGCCTCTGCTGTGGAGACTCCGACCTCCCATGGAAGCCACGTGGGACGGGAGCCTCGTAGTCCAGTCCAGATGCACGTTTTTAGCTTCCACTGTGCGTCTGTGGCCATCACTTTTCTGACATTAATGAGCCGATTTTGGTAAACAGAGCTCCAAGAGTCAGGATCGCAAGTCGGAAAGCAAAGAAAAGAGAGACATCTTGTCGTTCGATAAAATCAAGGAGCAGAGAGAGCGAGAGCGCCAGAGGCAGCGGGAGCGGGAGGTCCGGGAGACCGAGAGGCGGCGGTGAGTGGCTGGCCGGCCCGTCCGAGC